AGGCAGGCAGCGCACAAATCTAACAAAGAATATATCAAATGTTTCAGAACAATTTCTTTGCCATTAGCCAGGAAAGCCGCTCAAAATCTTAACTGCAGCAGTTCCAACAGCTGCAGGGCAAAACGGAGCCTTCTGCTTTTTTAGGCAAAAAAACTCACCACTGAGAAACCACCTATTATTCGTTCTGTTTTTTTTAACCAGGCAATGATCCAGGAAAGAACAACCTTTGGGGAGGAACTTCCTCAAAGATTGCTGGAAAACCCCGAGCGAGCGAGCGCTGCCTGCTGACGTTCTCCAAATACTCTGACTGGCAGGTGAGGCAGGGCTGCCCTCTGTGGAACTCCCCTTGCGGTTCCTCCAGAGGACCGGCTGCGTTTCCCCTCGGCCTAAAGCAGGGATTAAGCTGACTGGCTTTTCAAAAATGGTGATGTGGGTGTTTGGCCTTGATGGCTTTCCCATTCACAAGACTAAGGAAACCTACAGCTGACGGGGCGACCTGCAATCGTCAACCCCTCTTCTCCATCCCAGCTGGAACTCAGCAGCCAGCGACAGAGAAAGGAGCACTTCCCTGCTAATGTTCAGGAATCATGAAGCAGGGGGAAGAGCAAAAATGAAACACCCCAAAAGAAAAGAAAAGAAGAAGAAAAAAACCAGGCAGTCCCACCCCTGTGTCCTACCCCTGCCCTGTTCTGGCACCTTGGACCAAAGAGACTTTCCTCCCAGCCATTCCCGAGATGCCGCCTCTTTCCTCCAGGGATTTGAGGCATCGTGCCGGGGTGGAGTGAGGGGGGGGGGGTTGTTTCCCTAATCGGGAAGCTGGCTCCCTTCCTCTGCCTTTAGCCAAGCATTCCTGGTACAGTCCAGGCTGCCCCTCCCTCAGTTGGGGCTCATCCACTCACTGCTGGGCGCAGTTCAAGGGGAGGATGTGCAGCTCCTCAGCGCAAAGACCTCCCAGGCAGGCCCTTCACCAAATCCCCCCCCCCCGTGGGGAGAAGGGCCGGTGCCCTCCGAGGGGGGCCCTCTCGGTGTGCTGCAGGACCCTCCCAGGTGTGTGCTTTTTCTGAGACCCAAAAACATTTTTGCATGCAGCATTTTTAGGTGCAGTTCAGATGGATTCCCGAATTAGCTACTGACCCCTAGGAGCGGGCCCAGATGCAGCCTCTGGCCCTGCCGGGGCCTGAAGAGTCCCAGTAACGCCAGCCCAGTCGTGTGGAGCCTCCCACAGGCTGGCAGCTGAGATGACCTCCTACAGCTCTGCGTGCTTGAGGCCGAGATGAGTAAAAACCACAAAGCTCAGCCAGCACGCAGGCACACAGGAAGAAGGAAGGGGAACCTGCAGAGCACCTATAGGTCAGGGGTCCCCAACCTTGGCCGCTTTAAGACTTGTGGACTTCAATTCCCAGAATTCCTCAGCCAGCTTTGCTGGCTGAGGAATTCTGGGAGTTGAAGTCCACAAGTCTTAAAGCGGCCAAGGTTGGGGACCCTGGACCTATAGTTTTCTAGGTTATTTGCTCAGTTTGCTAGTTAATCCCTTCTAAAGGTTTTAGCTGTAATTTATGCTTATCTGCCGCACCACACTAGAATCTCCTAGGAAAAAAAAATAACGAAGCAGAAAAAAACCTGGCAGAGCAGAGCGCTGGAGCTGCCCAGGCTGGGTGATGCATTCAGGGACGCTGGCCAGTCTCTGGCCGTCCAAGAAGGCCATCTCCCCCCCCCCACCACCACCACCAGCCCTGCGCCTGCTATCTGCTACTGGAAGGAGAGCTCCCCCCCCAGTCAGCTGCATCCCAGGCAAGGGCAGGGAGGGGGCTTGGAACAGAGGAGCCCTCGACGGGAGAGGGGGGGGGGTTCTTACCCGCTGACATATGGAATAGTCATTGTGGGAGGAAGCAGAAGCAAAGGAGAGCCCCCAAACTGCTTCCTCCCCGCGTGGCCTTGACAGCCTCTCCAGCTCCTGGCCATTCATCTCCAGCAGCCGAAGGGGGGGGAGGAGGGAGGAAGGCCTTGCTCGGCCCACTCAGGGTGGGGGAAGAAATGGCTCAGCCCGGAGATCCCTCCGCCCGGCTCCACCTGACGTATCCGCCCAGGTGGGACCTTTGCTTTCCCCAGCTGGGACAGGGGCACAAGGAGAAGGGCCGAGGGGTTGTAAGGGACCCAGCCGAGCCACGCCAGGAAGCCCCTTCATCTGGCTGTGTCTCTCCCCAGAACAGGCAGCAGGGACCCGGCTTGGGCAGGTGCCAGGGCTGCCAACAGGGCAGGAAGTTTAGTCTGCCCGGCTGAGTGTTGTCGAGCGCTTCCAAAGCCCCCCAGGTAAGGAGGGGAGGGGAGAGGAGGGGAGGGCAGAAGTGGAAGGAACTGAGCAAGAGCGCCAGGAAGGAGGAAGTGGGGCGACCTCGCACCCGCGTCAGGCTGAGGAAGTCCATTGTGCTGCCACACAGGCCCCTTCTTCACCTGCCTCCCATTGTTAAGGTGTTGCCAGAGGCCAGGTGAGCCAAGGATTTGGGAGATCCCTCGTACACCAAACAGCAACACGGTTGGCTTCCTGGAGGAAAGGAAGATCCCTGTAACCACACTGGGCCCCCCCTCTCTCCACGCTTGGGTGTCCACAGTACCCCGTCTTTTTGAACCCTGAGACCTAAACACGCTTTTGCATTATGCCCCATCTTATGCCTCTGGGCATACAGCCCCATAGTCCTCAGGGGCGGCTGCCTGGCACTGGGGGCCCTGCCCTGTCTCACAGAAAGCTGCCCCCCTCCCAATTCCCACCGCAGCATCCAGCAACAGGCCCCTTGCCGCTCCCAGGACTGATGACACTGTCAGCCCAGGTGCTGGAAACCATCATCCAGCTGGATAGACTCGCCTGGGAGGGAGACCAAGCTGTGGGGCTGGAAGGGCTTCTCTTTCTCAACCCACAACTTCACCACAAAGCGCTGCCGTCGGCCGTGGCATCTGGAAGCTGGTACAGGAAGCTGCCTGGGCACAGCAAGCATGGGCACCGGTGATGGGGGGGGAGCAGAATCCCCCCAAGAGGCAGAGGGGCCAAAGCAGAAGGGATGGTGGGAAAGGGCAAAGGTGGTGACCTCTTGGCACCCTTGAGCTCCAAGCCTGCCCTCCAAGGCGAACTCTGGCCAGAGAAGAGAGGGCCCTGAGCTGCTCACGGAGGGCTGAGACACCTGGCCCATTCGGCCACTCGCTGGGCATCCAGTGTCCCGTCTCCAGCAGCAGCAGCCGGTGCCCACTGCTCCACAGGAAGCAGAGGGCCAGTCCAAAGGCTCAGCCCCTTTTTCTCCCTGGTTGCTACTGCCTATCAACCACGGCACGAACCCTAATTTAAATCTCTTCCCCCCTCGGCCATCTTTTCCCCTAAGAGATCCTCCAATCCTCCCTTTGTTCCTTTGGCTGCAAGGCCTCCCTTCACCAGAACCGTTTCTCACCAAATCGCAAAATGCTCTGGCCTTCTCCGCTACACCCCCGACTCTTTTCTCCATGCCCCGTTTCTAATCACTCCTCTCAATCAACTAAAAGGCTCTGCCCTGCCCCTTCCGGCGATGGCAGCGCACCACGGGAGGGTCTCTTGCAACCCGACAGCCAATCGGGAATGTGGCTTGCAGCCCCTCCAAGATCAACGTTCACCCCCCCTTGGGATGCAGGCACTGCCAGGGCTGCCACTTTACAAGCGATTTTATAGGTAAGCGTAACGGGGACCTCGGACACCGGGGACACCTGTGGCCAGAGGCACATGCCGAGAGTACATCCTGGGCCCCGGGAGCAGAAGCACCGGGGCTCTGCTGGGAGACAGATAAATGCAATTCCAGAAAAGTGGGCAGGCCAGCGAGCAGGAACGGAGCCACTGGAAGCTGCTGGGATGTCAACGGGTGTTGAACCGTCCCCTTCCTCCCCACCGCTGGGGCCCTGAAAGAGGACCGGCTGTGAAGGAGAGACCTTGGACTCCGACTTGAAAGCGCTTAAACTTGGGTTGTGCTCAAGACATTTGCACGCGGACACATTTGGTAGGCCCATATATCTCATTACGCACTCAACCTCTATTCCAGACTAATCACTTCCACATCTTTCGGGCCAGCGCAGTTCACTGCGGTTTCTGCTGGGTCAAAAGGGCGAGAAACATTATTTGACTTTGTGCCATCAAGTCAGGGTTAACTCTCAGCAACCAAGTGCACAGGTTTCTCTCCTCCACGATCTGTCCCCCAACCTGGTCCTTCCGGTCTCCCAACGACGACCCTGTGGCCAGTCTAAGGGGGTCCTCGCTACAACTGTTAAGGAACTCACTGCGGTTGTTAAGTGAGTCACGCGGTCATTAAGTTAGCCTGGCTTCCCCATCGACTCTGCTTGTCAGAAGGACGCAAAAGGGGATCTCGTGACCCCCCCGGGAATATTGCGACGGTCATAAATATGAGCCAGTTATCAAACGTCCACATTTTGATCATGAGACCGTGGGGATGCTGCAACGGTTGTGTGAAAACAGTCCTAGGTCACTTTTTTCAGTGCTGTTGTAATTTTGAACGGTTGCTAAACGAACTGTTGTAAGTCGAGGACTACCTGTATGGGTCTCACTCTAGCCACTGTAACACGGCGCCCTTCATTCCCAGCCAGCGCCACTCATCCAGGACACCATAATGGGCAGCTTGAAAGCCGTTGGGAGATCAGGCACGACAAGGAGGCCCCCACTGCCCTTCTGACTCCACAAAGGCCATCGATCAGCACGACCAAGACTGCCCCCCCATATCACAACCTGAAATGGGTCCAGGGAATCCATTGCCTCCTCCCCAAGACTCTCTTTCCAACCACCTTCCCCAAACAGCAAAGGTTGCAGCCGTCCAGCATCACTGGGCCCAAGGATGAGCAACGCTCTCTCCACCGTTCTTCTCGCCCAAAGGCAGCAGACGGCCTCGGTTGGCCGAGGGGCCTGCACCCCCCTTCACCCCACGTAGCCAGAGACGCCACCACTGCCTGACCACCACAAGGAGCTGAGATGAACTTACCTCCTCATCGGAGCTGTCTTGCTCGTACTCATTCTGCACGGGAGGCTCTTGCTGAGGGGTTGCTGTGCTCCTGATGTTAGGACCCAGCTCTGTTGCTTCTCCAGCCTGCAAAACAGGACGACAGGAACAGCTATCATGCAAAGGCAGCAGACGAGTCTGGAGACCCTCCCAGGCTCTGCGGAAGAGCCAGAAGCCACGCCAGGGAGGGATCCCTGAGGGATGATACACCTCAAATGCGGCTTCAGCACCCATCACGACACACCGCCCGGCCTTCCCTAGCCCCTTCACGAGGCCCTGGCGCCCAGAACGGAGGGGAGGATTCCAAAGAGTGAGGAGTAAGAAAAAAGGCCATAGGATTTGCTCCTTTCCCCAGTCTCTTCGTTCTGGAATATAACCTTCCCCACTCTTTGGATTCAGTCAGGTATTTGGGGTTGCCTCTTTCTGACGCTGAAAGTATTCAGGGGTGATTTCTTATTAGACCTTTTCCCAAGAGTTTGTTCTTGAATTTTCCTCGGTCTCTGAAAACTCTAAAGGTTGACATACAGACTGACAAAAACACACAACCGCTCTTCGAAGGCTGTGCCCCCGGTGCATTCTGGGGGAGAGACATTCCCTGAGGATGGGCTGTGGCTCGGGTTCAAAAGTTTGGAAGACTAAGCCTCTGGTCCTGGTGACTGACCCAAAACTGGACACTGCAATGTTATCCAGGGACACGTATATTTGCCTTCATTTATGCCACCCAGTTGCAACGTATGGCTGTGAAGGTTGGACCATAAGAAAGGCTGAGCGTCAAAGAATGGAGGCCTTTGAACTCTGGTGCTGGAGAAGACTCCTGCGAGTCCCCTGGACTGCAAGGCGATCCAACCGGTCGGTCCTAGAGGAGATCCACCCCGACTGCTCTTTAGAAGGCCAGATCCTGAAGTGGAAACTCAAGTACTTTGGCCACCTAAGGAGAAGGAAGGACTCCCTGGAGAAGGACCTGATGCTGGGAAAGATGGAGGGCAAGAGAAGGGGACGACAGAGAATGAGGGGGCTGGATGGAGTCACTGAAGCAGGAGGCCTGAGCTTCAATGGACTCCAGAAGATGGCAGAGGACAGGAAGGCCTGGAGGAACGTTGTCCATGGGGTCGCGATGGGTCGGACATGACTTCGCAACTAACAAGAAGTGTGGCCCAAAACTTATTTTCAAACTAGCTGTACCCAGCCACGCGTTGCTGTGGCTCAGTCTGGTAAAAGCGTGTGCTGCTTTTACGTCCAACAGATGGCGCTGTTTTTCAAAAAAGCATGTTTTTACCTATCACATGTGTGAATCTATATAATATAGGTATATAAAAACACGTGTGTATTCGAATGCAACGTTGTGTCAAAATTTCAAAGCAATCGGTGAAGAACTTTCAGAGATTTAAGATTTTGAACAAACGAACATTTACATTTTTATATAATAATAATAATATAATATAATATAATAATATAATAAATATAATATAATAAATATAATATAATATAATATAATATAATATAATATAATATAATATAATATAATATAATATAATATAATATAATAAATAAATATAATATAATATTATAATATAATATAATAATGTAATAATATAATATAATAATATAATATAATAATATAATATAAGATAGAAGATTTCATCCCAATTCTTTTCAGAAGTATATTTTAAAGGAAGGAAACTGAACTGGAGTTTCCCACGGGTACCTCAAAGGCGCTTTTCCAAAAGACAACTGGACTGGTTTTTACTTGTGGCAAAAAGACATTTCGTATCTCATCCAAGAAGCTTCATCAGTTCACCGTGAACTGATGAAGCTTCTTGGATGAGAAGCGAAATGTCCTCTTCACACAAAGCTTTTCTCTGCCACCACCTCTTGATTTAGATCAGAGGTACCCAACCTTGGAACTATAAGTCCTTCCAGACTGTATGGATGTACTGTATATAAAGGCAAAGGCTGGTCCTAAGCCACGACTTCGCAACTAACAACAACAATGCCACCTCTGCTCTTCAAAGCAGACTATGATAATGCATTGCTGAAGAAAGAATGGCCTCTGGGTTTCCTTGTTCCACCAACAATCAAATCTATGTGATTACTTGTCTTAGGGTGACCAAGCTACGTGCAGGCAGAAATGACCAGACCTAGAACAAACCGGGATACAAGCTCAATAAACCAGAACCATTTGCCTGAGTAAAAGCAGCAGCCAGACTATCTGACATCTATGATATTGTGGAAAAGCACATGAAAAAGGGTTTCCCCCACGCCTTTTTGTCCAGAAACTTTTAGCCACCGTCCACAACTTCTTTGCTACTTTTATCTCCAGAGACAAGCACCAGCAGTTCTCAACCTACGACCACAATTGAGCTCAAAATTTCTGTTGCTAAATAGAGACATTTGTTAGGTGAATTTCGCCCCGTTTTACGACTTTTCTTGCCACATTTGTTAAGTGAAACCTTACAGTGACACGGTTGTTAAGCGAATCTGGCTTCCTCCATTGACTTTGCTTGTCAGAAGGTTGCAAAAGGGGATCATGTGACCCCGGGACGCTGCAACCGTCATAAAGGTGAGTCAGCTGCCAAGCGGCTGAATTTTGATCACATGACCACGGGCATGCTGTAGTGATCACTAAGTATGAAAAGCAGTCGTAAGTCACTTTTTTCAGGGCTGCTGTAATTTTAAACAGTCACTAAGTGAATCGTTGTAAGTCAAGGACTACCTGTAACCGCTTACAGTACGGTGTTGCTCAGAAAAAAATGACAAGGGGTCCCTCTAGCACAGGGGTAGGCAACCTTGGCTCTTTTAGGACTCGTGGACTTCAACTCCCAGAATTCCTGAGCCAGCTGGGAGTTGAAGTCCACGACTCCTACAAGAGCCAAGGTTGCCTACCCCTGGTCTAGGAGGTCTTGGTGGGTCACAGGTTGCACGCAAGACTGGCTCAGGAATTCTGGGAGTTGAAGTCCACGAGTCCTACAAGAGCCAAGGTTGCCTACCCCTGCTCTAGCACAAACAAGCAGCTGCCACACGTGCCTCTTGGGCGAACGTGTGCAGTCAGACAAGGCTGCCGCGCTCCCTGCAGCAGACGAGCCGCTTCCCGCTGCTGGCCCAGGCAGCCCCGAGGCTCTTTCTTCTCTCTCCATCATCGTGGAAGACAGAGGAGAGCGAGAGCGAGAGCGAGAGCGAGAGAGAGACCAGGCCAGCTCCTCTTTTCCTGTCAGCCCTCCCAGGTAAGCCAGACAGGAAACAGGACCAGATGAGCTAATTCTGCTTTACTCTAAGGCTACATTAGCAGAATCTTGCAAGTCTGAAAGCGCAGAGCTCCTGCTGTCAGAGTCTGATGCATGAGAGTGGATCCTTTTCAAGTTTCTTCCTCTGTCCCTTGAGCAGCTGTGGGCTCCTCTGCCTTTTATTTGATCTTCCCCCCAGGCAGAGACTCTTCCCTTCCTCCCTCAAGGTCACTCCCTCAGACCCTGACCCTTCCCCACAACGTTAAAACCTCGGCCACCCAGGTATATATGGACGCTTCTCATTGTAGACAATGTAAATGTAAAAGGAGAGGCAATGCTAGTCTATTGGGAGGGGGGGGGGAAGAATCAGAAGGAAATGCAAGAATGGATGCACACGTATTTGATATCAAGGCTCTAAACCAGGAGTGTCCAAGTGTGGCAACTTTAAGACTTGTGGACTTCCAATGCCCAGAATTCTGAAAGGCCCCAGGTCTTAATGTTGCCACGGCTGGACACCTTGCTCTAAACCAGGGGTAGTCAACCTTGGCTCTCTTATGACTCGTGGACTTCAACTCCCAGAATTCCTGAGCCAGCTGAGCTGGCTCAGGAATTCTGGGAATTGAAGTCCACGAGTCATAAAAGAGCCAAGGTTGACTACCCCTGCTCTAAACCAGTGATGGTGAACCTTTTAGAGACCGAGGGCCCAAACTGCAACCCAAAACCCACTTATGCATCGTCGGGTGCCGGGTGGGTGTGGCCCATTGGCTGGGTATGGCCCATTGGGGTGGGTGTGGCCCATTGGGTGGGCGTGGCTGTGGTGGTAACGGCAGGCTGGGTGGGACTAAAAAGTTCAATCAATCAATTCCAACTTTGCGAGATCTTTTTTTTCCCCGCGAGAAGTTGAAATTGACTGATAGATTGAACCTTTTTTTTTTTTGCACACGGTAGCGGAGGCCTAAAGCGAAAAGGTTTTATAAAACCCAGCTGAAGGCCTAGGACTGGGGCGACGGCTCGTGTGCCCACAGAGAGGGCTCTGAGTGCCGCCTCTGGCACCCGTGCCATAGATTCCCCACCACTGCTCTAAACACAGGCAAATTAATGTCAGAACGTTTCAGCCTCTTCCCACTAGTTTCCAGGACTGGAAAAGCACCACAACTGAGGGAGGAAATGCTGAACTTACATACATCAAAAGGTTTCAGGACTTCAACAAACACAAACGTTTTTAGCACCACATCTCAATGGTTAATCAATAAAACGCTGGCAAACTGTCTCCCGTGCAATCTGCAAAAATCACCTCCCCGCAACCTGAATTTAAATCTTCCGCCCGCCTAGCTGCCACAGCCTGTGTAGGTGAGCTGCAAATTTCCAAAATTTCTGCCTTGTACTAAAATTTGTTGGTCTGAAAAAGTGCTACCGGGTTCCTTCTCATGTTTTGCAAGGAAAGCGACTGACAAGAGGCGCCGACAACAATACTTTATTATGCAATTGATTCCTACAAGATCAGATGATGGGCACTTGATTATTTGGAAGTAGGGGTAAAATACGGCCGCTGTGCTGAAGCCAAAAAACATGAGACGGGAGATCAAATGGCAAACAGCACTGAGCTGCTGCAGAGGCTTTCATCGGAGATCGCCTGCTCCATCAACAGTCCTTCCTTACGACTTCACAAGGAAACCTCCTCTGTCCTGCTACAAGAAAAAACAGGAAAAGCTGCTGCCTTCCCGCCACGAGGACCTTCTGGCCAGCTCCCACCCTTAGGCAGCCCCCCCAGACCCAAGAAAGGCCTCCTCCAGAATCACCCAGAGCTTAGCGTGTGAAATACTCCACACTGAGATTCTGGGACAGGACGGGATCCAGCCAGGGCCC